ATGCAGCTTGTTTTCTCTCACTAGCATTGAGCTGGTGCATTGACTCTCATGCGTATGGAACACAAAGCATTTACAAGCTTGCCATCTGTCATGTACAAAGGAAAATTCACAGTGAACTTGAACATATTTTTGGATACAACTGTGCCAGTGCATTTTTCTGTGACGTGATGTTCTCATTCTTGGAATCCATGAATTACAGTGAGCAGTCAGCTCATATAAAAGCCCCTTTAACAAGCGAATGGAACGGGCAGTTTGTGTCACAGCCATATCACGTCATATAATGACATAACTGGGTAATCAGTTGCCATAGCAACAGGTACACAGTGTCCAATCCTATTCTCTCCTTTTATTAATGCGATTACTTAGTCTGATGTTACCAATCACTCACGCACGCAGTGAGCCAACTGACCTACTGTGACACACATTACACACTCAAGCAAATCAGAATGGGTTAGGGTGAGCGTTTAATCAGACCGAGGTCAATTCTGTGAGCAGAGATAAGCTGTGTGTTTAGCTGTGACATTATTGGCAGATTTATTGAGAGATAAGGAGTCATTGTCAGTAAGAGTTCACCTGATACAGGTAGAGATATGGTCATAAGCAGCTGTATGACATGATGTTTTAACTAGTATATCTGAAGCTGAAACACTGTCCAGTTAAAGATCAAACTTTAAAAATGTATTTGTCCTGTTGCGATTTCTTGCCTTTTTTGTAGCACAGATTCAACATAATCATATTCTTCATTACTGTAACCTTAAAATATAGTTATGAAATACCAGTGACACAAAGTGCTTGCTGCTTTGAGTCCTCTTTTCTCACAACACAAGGGTCAAACCAGGTCAGACCCCAGGAAGTCTTACCCTCCTTGATGTACATTGTAGTCTTCCTAAAATTGCGAAGGTAGTTTTAGTCTTCAAGTAGTTTGTGCAGCATGATTTAAGTATCACTTGGATATATGTCACAAAAGGGAAGAAAAAATTAGCGCTCTGTTTTAAGCCTTTCCTATCAATTTTTTCAGGGCACTCCTGCAGATGTCTTGTACAAGGGCACAATAACCCGTCTGATTACTGAGGACAGCCCCAGCAGAGAGAGAAGCAGAGAAGACACTCCTTCTAAGGGGCATGTAGTCTACGAGGGCATCAGTGGACACATCCTTTCCTTTGACCGTAAGTGTACACAAACATGTAAATGCTCAGAACCTAATAAAGGTAGAAATTGTCTCTTACTATTGTTTGTGTTTGAACACACAGGGGGTCCAAACTCTAAGGAAGAGGCTCGTGGGGACATGGCTGGGCTGAAGAGGACCTATGACATGATGGAGGTCGGCATTTCTCGTGTGCCACCCATCAGAGACTCAATATCTGCCACTGAAGGTGAGCATAAGACAACCTTCTTTAACAATCATGGACAATGGAGTTTCACCGTTTATCCTTTTTCCAGTTAATGTTCCTTCACCTGCCGTTTCTCTCTTTTGCAGGCTTGATTAGTCGAGCAATGCCTCACGAGCGCGATAGTCCTCATCTGCACCACATCCGTGGATCCATATCCCAAGGTCAACATTTTCTCAGAAACTCAGCCTCAACTGATCACCTTTGGCTCATACGAGCTGTAACTCACATTTCCTTTGTCTTACATCTCTTCTTTCTCTCCCAGGAATCCCACGGGATGACTGTCAGCGCCGGGAGGTTAAACAGATGAAAAGAGAGGGTTCACCATCACCCCGTGGCCCTGGTCATCCCGCTGACACTCTTAAATCACGCTCTCACGAGAGTATGGTGACCACCGTCAAAGAGGGAGGACGCTCCATCCACCTGATCCCTCCTGAGGGGGTTGTGATAGGCAAGCCTAAGGAGGGCTCAATCACCCAGGTGACTGGCTTTGATTGATGTTTTCTTAACTTGGTGTGGTAGGATATCTGGCAAATAAATTTAAATACAGTAAAATCCTGAAAGTACTACACTTTTCTTCCGACGTTTATTTCATATTTGGGGTTAAAGAGAAGTTTTGCCTGAAACTGCTGAAAATAAACAAAGGCCATAAATACTGAAATTCACAAAATTATGAGTACCTAGGGTACTTTTTTGTACCTCTACACTCTTAAAAATAAAGGTGTCTGGCAGAACCAAAAACTCTTCCCAGAGGTTCTTAGAAGAACCACTCATGAAACCCCATTTCTTCTGGACCAAAATCCTTACATTTGTCATATTGTAAATTCTTTAATAGGTTGTTCATTAAATACATTCAAAAATATAAAGAAAATCTAAAAGTAACAAGACTTGGTAAGATTAAAATGTTTATTGCCTTTACAGTATACATCAAACATCAATACCACACAACCTTATGTCAAATTAACTGAATATGAACTAAATGTGTGTTCTATAGGGCACCCCTCTGAAACAAGAGCCTGTTGGCTCATCCAAGCGCC